AAAAGTAAACGACTTTTTCCCACCCAAGGTTTGCATATACATTTATCGAATATGTAATGAGTAAGGGGTGGACTAGAGAAGCCAACAGGAGGAGTATAAAAGGGAAGCTGTGAGATATGTGGTAAAGGTGTTGGTAAATGAGTTGTTGTGAGACGGTGAGATAGGGAAGCTAGATGATACTGTCCCTGTGATGACAGAAAAAGGTTTATCAATGGAGGTGTTCAGTGAGGCAACATGTGCTGAACTTAGTGAAAATTAGGGGAGTTGAATTTCTCTAATCTCATCTCATACTTTTGTAATAGGTATTGAGCTTCCTGTAGAGTGACTGAGTCAAATTTTCACTCAATTTTGGAGGTCAAATTAACAATGATTGCATCAAATTCCAGACCGAAATCATCTAATAAATGTTGAAGCAACTCATCATATGTGATTATGTGACCATTGGCCGACAAGCTCTCAACAATACTTCTCATTTTCTTAATGTAATCACCAACACGGTACTCAATCAGAAATTTGATCAGCATTTCCTCGATTGGTTTTCCTTCACTTACCCTACTTCTTTAATACTAGCTAAGATTCAAACGTATAATAAAAATAAGAATGCTAACGTAAATTTATTAAATCATCAATTTGAAATTTTTTATCATTCACAGATCTGTTGAAATATGAATGTCATGATTATGGCTAATTACTAAGATTATGTCGATCACTAAAAATCACTCAATCAATCAATTCTCTAACCGAATATAATACATTATTTTGTTTCCTTATTTTATAACTAAACTTTTGTATAAATAGATGATGTATTCACAATTCAAAATAATTCAATATAATACAATTGAATTCATTCTTCAAAATATTTCTCTTGCCCTCTTAATTCCGACAAGATCTAGTAATATGTGAACATAATGATCAAATATCTAATTCGGGAACATACATATGAACTTCTTAATTCTTGACAAGACAACCAAGTAAAAATCCATGTATCGATGATCACCATGCAGCTTTGGACACTCTCCCTCAAAGACAGATGGATGTGAAATAAAATAAAAAAACAAACCCGTGTCTGGATAAATGATTGTTTTCCCTTGTATGACTTTTATACATATCTTGCACACCTGCTAAATCATATTGCATTCAATTTGATAATCGTTTTCGATAACAGAGGCCTCATTTAAAACCAAGAAGCAAATTAAAGTTGCTTCTCTTTACGAATGAAATTAAATTAAATTATGGGAACTGTGGAACACATTTTACAAGTTTCTGAGAAAAAGGTGAAGTCTATAATAATAGGTAAGCTTGCTTGGTCGGTGTCTAGAACTTTTAGTCTCTATGAAATGAGTATGAAGGTTGACAAACACTTTCTTTATCAGAAGAGCATTGAACATATATCTGTGCTTTATAGCCACTGTAAAACCGTAGCAAGTGAAGCGGTATGATTTTTCCGAGGCCCGTGAACATGTTGGTAGTTGGTACATGTTCCATGTGCGTTTGCTTGTCCTTTTTAGATTCTTCTATACATTTTTAGAATTTGTAGATCCTAAAAAATTTCCTAAATATATTTCTTGTGGCCCAACAAGTACTTTTACATTGTCGCATAGAGTTCCTGCAATTAAATATCAAGCTACCTGCTCCGCTATAGGTTAATTTTCTTTTCAATTATATGTATATACGGAGATTATAAATTCGGAATACAGAAAACACGTCGCTAACATTTGCAGATCTCTCAGAAACTAATATGTACGATCAAATTTAATCTCTTAGTGATGATATGTATATGTGATGTGAGCTTTGGTTCCTAATCATAACGTATTTCGTTTGTCAGAAATGGATGGAGGCACAAAATCAATTAAATAAATAGTTGTTGTCTGTGGAACTAGCTAGGGCAGTGTTTCAAGGGTCCAGCAGCATGCGTGCATGCAAGTAGGTCATGGTTCAAATAGATTTCGACTTGAAAGGTGCATGCATGGAGCTTTACTCATCAAATATCTTAAATCTCTCTACTTTGGGTGCCATTTTTGTGTATAATATCTACATAAAATAGATGCCAGATGACACATCTACTTCTTCAGACTGGTAGCATCTTGCTAACCGAACCTTTCCTAGTGTTAGATATTTTTAGAAGCCTAAAATTATAGCATGCATTTCCTGTTATCTTGATCTATGATACTGTTACTGTATTTCATATATTGAAATGTAAAATTAAGAACAACCGTGTATAATATTAGCATGAATTACATGCTCTTTAAGGAAGCCAGAAGAGAGACTAATTAAGGTTCTTAGATCTTCTAGCTTATAGTTAAAACTTAAAACTACCACTACCACTACGACATTCGATATTGGATCATAGTGACAAAGGTGGTTAGGGATTTGAATTAGAAGTAGAAATAAGCACATAATTACGCAAAACTAGTGTAATAAATTTGACATTATTTTTACGGAATTCAACTCTATTGCCCAAACCCAATTCAGCCAAGAAGTCTGTTAATTTCTTTGCGGCTATGCTATTGGGTTTTGTCAGCCCAATCTGGGTGGTTTTCAGTCAGCCAATTGCTAACTGTAATGATATAATTATCGATTATGTACTGAGGCCCAATACTTGCATTTCCATAGCAGGACCTATAAAAAAGTTTGTGAAATTCCTAGGCCATGTTCTGGTAATGAAGATAATGATCAAGAGTGAGAGAGTTCTGGTACCGGATTCTTCTGTTTCTGGTATGTCCTGTCCTAATGTTTTTTTGTTTTTTTTTTTGTAAATATAAGGAATAAGTAAAGTGTTGTTGAGATAGATTAGATGCCAAAGTTTATCTAAGAATATTCCAATTAATACATCAATTTGAGGCCACACATGTGGAGGATCGGGGCTTGGTCCCCCACCATCAATGGGCTTCAGGGCTTGGTCCATGAGTATATATAAAAATGATGTGTCAATAAATGATTAGATGAGATTATTATTATAATCAAGCANACAGAAAACACGTCGCTAACATTTGCAGATCTCTCAGAAACTAACATGTACGATCAAATTTAATCTCTTAGTGATGATATGTATATGTGATGTGAGCTTTGGTTCCTAATCATAACGTATTTCGTTTGTCAGAAATGGATGGAGGCACAAAATCAATTAAATAAATAGTTGTTGTCTGTGGAACTAGCTAGGGCAGTGTTTCAAGGGTCCAGCAGCATGCGTGCATGCAAGTAGGTCATGGTTCAAATAGATTTCGACTTGAAAGGTGCATGCATGGAGCTTTACTTATCAAATATCTTAAATCTCTCTACTTTGGGTGCCATTTTTGTGTATAATATCTACATAAAATAGATGCCAGATGACACATCTACTTCTTCAGACTGGTAGCATCTTGCTAACCGAACCTTTCCTAGTGTTAGATATTTTTAGAAGCCTAAAATTATAGCATGCATTTCCTGTTATCTTGATCTATGATACTGTTACTGTATTTCATATATTGAAATGTAAAATTAAGAACAACCATGTATAATATTAGCATGAATTACATGCTCTTTAAGGAAGCCAGAAGAGAGACTAATTAAGGTTCTTAGATCTTCTAGCTTATAGTTAAAACTTAAAACTACCACTACCACTACGACATTCGATATTGGATCATAGTTACAAAGGTGGTTAGGGATTTGAATTAGAAGTGGAAATAAGCACATAATTACGCAAAACTAGTGTAATAAATTTGACATTATTCTTACGGAATTCAACTCTATTGCCCAAACCCAATTCAGCCAAGAAGTCTGTTAATTTCTTTGCGGCTATGCTATTGGGTTTTGTCAGCCCAATCTGGGTGGGTTTCAGTCAGCCAATTGCTAACTGTAATGATATAATTATCGATTATGTACTGAGGCCCAATACTTGCATTTCCATAGCAGGACCTATAAAAAAGTTTGTGAAATTCCTAGGCCATGTTCTGGTAATGAAGATAATGATCAAGAGTGAGAGAGTTCTGGTACCGGATTCTTCTGTTTCTGGTATGTCCTGTCCTAATGTTTTTTTGTTTTTTTTTTTGTAAATATAAGGAATAAGTAAAGTGTTGTTGAGATAGATTAGATGCCAAAGTTTATCTAAGAATATTCCAATTAATACATCAATTTGAGGCCACACATGTGGAGGATCGGGGCTTGGTCCCCCACCATCAATGGGCTTCAGGGCTTGGTCCATGAGTATATATAAAAATGAGGTGTCAATAAATGATTAGATGAGATTATTATTATAATCAAACATTAATAGGGGAGGTTGAGGAACCTACAGTAGAGTCACCTATTAGTATTAAAGGGGCTTCTTGTCTTTGTCAATCTTGACTATAATTGAATTTTAAGTTCAACTGTCATTTAATTAAACAATATGGTGGAGGTGGAGGTGGAGGTGGTGGACCCATTGAGATTGAGTGATAATTTCATTTATATAAAAAGAAAATTGTGAATATTGAATAACAAGTGTACAGTGGTTGACTTACTATTTTAATCCCACAGAGGCCAGGAGTTCCTAAAAGTTAAAACAATGAACCCAATTAGATATTTTGACTTGTACTTCCTTTACATTGGATCAAGATCAATCTTATCTTATATTATTAATCAGTGAAATTCTTCAATTTATTTCTTTTTTGGGTATATAACCATTTAAACTGTCTTATTTGTATATTGAATAAAAGTGTTTAAACAACCAACACCACCTAACATTTGAATTGGCTATTATAGTCAGGATTAATTTATTTATGTGTAATTTTTAGGACGTTTTATAAAATCCTATTATTATTATTATTTTGGAGAAAATCAATAATTTTTTTGAATTAAATAAAGATAATGCCAACAACAAAACAGTCCTACAATCAAAGTTATTAAAAATATTATGCGATAAATTATAAATACATACAAATCGGAGGGCAGAGACAGGTGTCACTTCAAAACACCCATCGTCACGTATCTGAAATACCCAACCAAGTTATCCAAGAAAAACTCTCCATTTTTTAATTTAGAGAGTGAAAGAACGAAACGTGGCTGTTGGGCTACACTTTGCTTTTGTCATATTTTATTGAAGAACAACTACCATCAGCATTTCAAGTAAAAGACATATATTTTAAGGTAAAGAAGGGTCAAATTATTACCGGAAGAAGCAGATATCACCGAAAGAGTGAGTGTGTACTTTGTTGTTGGTTGGTTGGGTGGGTTTTTTTGGTTAATATTTTATGTATGATAGTGTAATTGGTGATAATTGTTTGTGAAAATGGTAGGTGAAATGGCGAGCTCAGAGACTGCAAATGAAGAAGTTTGCTTTGAACTTCCAGCTCCTTCTGGTTGGAAGAAGAAGGTCATTCATTCTCTCTTCTCTTTCTCTATTGATATGCTTTCTTTTTTTCGGGTCTACTTTTGATGGTTTTTTTTGGACTTACTGTTTGTTGATTATATGTGGCTTTTTTGGTATGATTACTGTTACTTGGTGTGAATTTTTTAGGGGTTTTTCTACTTGTCAAATTTTATGGGGGTTTCATGGTGGAATTTGGTACGGTATAGTTAGGAACTTTAAGTTAGGGTTTTCAGGGTTGTTATGATGTTTATGCTGAATTACGAGTTAATTTATTGTTATTTCTTAAATCGAAAGTTGATTATTTAGGTTTATGTGGCTAGAGTTTGCTTTTCTGTTTTTACATTTGTGAGAAATAGTGGTGTATTTGTTTGCTTTAGGTAGAATTGCCCCTAATCTACTTGTGAATTATGCCGACTGTCTTCCTTTGGTGTTTTGATGTAAAATATTACTGACTACCGACTGTGCCTTTGGGAAATCACTATGGTTCTTTATTATTGGTTTCTTTTGTCAGTGTAATAGTTCTATGGCATTGAACTTTCATGAGATAAAATCCATGAATTATTTTTCCATTCTGCACTTAGGGTTGGAAAAGTTCTCTGGGAGTGGGATCTTTGCTTGTCTAATAGGGAATGCCATAATGAAACAACTTATTTTAATTTTGAAATTTCCAATTTTGTCGTATTTGTGGAGACTAAATTATATGATCCTGTCAAAAAATTATATTACCCTGTGATTTTGTAATGGTAAGGAAAAAAAAAAAAAAAATCTTTTGAGCTCTGGGCTATTCTATCGATTGTATATGACTGACTGTCTGTTGAGATGCTTTTAGCTTGTTTTCTCTCCTGTACATCTTTGTCACTGTGTTGATGTGAACAGTGTGCTGCTGGTCACTGTATTTTTACTTCTTGACTTGCAAAGAATTTGGACTTTACTGCTTTATTAGAGAAGGCTTTGCTGTGTACTTGAGTGTAGGCATTCATGTGGAGAAATGATTCTGTTTGGCACGCCAGCTATTTCAAAGAGTAGAATAGTAAATTGGCACAGTGTGATGTTTTAGTGTGAAAGAAAGGGCTAAAACAGTTTCTTAGTTTCCTCTTATACAGAATTGTATATTGAAATAAAGTTTCATATAAAGTCTTTTGACAAACATTTGATTTGGACTGGCTGTTGGCATAGCATCCAGAGCCGTGAATGGTTTTGCTGATCTTTAAGTTTGTTACTTGACTAGAATTTGTGTCCCAAGGACGGCACAAAGATGTTACTTGATTGCCTTGGCTCACATTGTCTCCTTTCCTATTCATTGCGTAGAATTATAAAGCTATCAAGGTGATAGGAAACCAAGGATTTAAACAGAATTTAGGATACAAGCGAGACAATGATGGATGAATTCACTCAACTTTTTAGTACTATTTCAATTCAACTTAACATAAGAGAAAACAGTACAGTCGATTCAGAGAGACAAAAATTTAAAAAAAAAAAAAGATAACAAAGGAAAATAAACTCTAGCCCTTCGAAGGTGCCAAAAAGCTCCCAATTTGATTCTACTTCCAACCCTCCCTTTTTCTCCCTGCAATTCCCTTCTTATTCCTTCCATATATAGTCATCCTGAACAAACTCTTCTCCCCTGATGATGACATGTGGTCCTCTCTGCTAACAAACTCCAGCTCAGCAATTGATTCAGTTATTTCTATTTTTCCTTTTCACGTACACGTGCAATAGGAGGTTTAATTCCCTCAGTACCCCTCTCAGTATTCACTTGGTTACTCAGTGTTCTATCAATACACCCCCTAGGAGACTTGCCTTGTCCCCAAGGTGAAATTTAGGATACTGTGCATCAATTGTATCATAGGATTAGGTTGCTTCAAAGGAAGGTAGATCATGCCATTAGATTAAAGCCTCTTTAGATCCATCCGAGAGATCCCTGATAGCTAACACTGACTCAATTTGAACCATTAACTCCAAGTCTTCAACTCTTCCCTCCATTATGGTATTCACCATAACCCACATCAGCTCTAATACCAAATTGATAGGAAACCAAGTATTTAAACAGAATTTAGGATATAAGCAAGACAACAATGGATGAATTCACTCAACTTTTTAGTACTATTTCAATTCAACTTAACGTAAGAGAAAACAATACAGTCGATTCAGAGAGACAAAAATTAAAAAAAAAAGATAACAAAGGAAAGTAAACTCCAACCCTTCAAGGGTGCCAGAAACCTCCCAATTTGATTCTACTTTGAACCCTTCCTTTTTCTCCCCGCCTCTCCCTTCTTTTTTTTGCTTCCATATTCAGTCATCCCAAACAAACTCTTCTCCTTTGATGATGACACGTGGTCCTCTCTGCTAGCAAACTCCAGCTCAGCAATTGATTCAGTTATTTTTATTCTTCCTTTCATGTATACTTGTAATAGTAGGTTTAATTCCCTCAGTACTTGGAACATACTCCTTCCGTGGGCAAAATGAGATTTAACAAGAATGAGAAAATTGTTTAGTCTGATGGAGGAGACTACGACCTTGTTCAAGCTATTGCTCAAAGGTTTGGATTAAAATCTGATGATCTTTATTGAATGAGCCGACCCAATTTATACAGAAAAAATCCCAAAGGAATAGCAACGGAGAAAGACAAGAAAGTTGCTAAACTTCAACAACTACTCCTAGAACTAAGGAAACAAATTTGACTAGCGATTATCTAAAATAATAACAGAACAGAATTAAACATTATTTCCTAATATCTTGGAATATCTGGCCGAACTCATAACAATTAGAAGACGTTTGCATGGTTGCGAACTGGAAGGAGCCATTGACTGCGGAAACTGTTGAAAAGAGAAAACAAAGGCCCACGTGCTTGATGCCCAAATTCACATGAGAGACATGCGCACGTAACAGTACCCCTCTCAGACTTTACTTGGTTAGTTGGTGTTCTATTACAAGGTTATATTATTTTGTCCAAGCAAGACTTATGTCTTGGTCGAATGTCAATTTTAATGCCACTAGTTGGAGGTCATGTATTTGATTGTATCTCATCACTACTATAAGAGGGAAATAGAAAACATATATGTATATCATCTAATTCTTCATCTTGTGTATGACACCTCAAACTTAGGCAGGTAGTTTAAACTAAATATATTAGTCTCATTGAAGTATATGAGCTATTAGTTGAATGACAATTCAAGTAGGCATGTTATCTTATGGATGGTGATACATTTTGGTTAGTTAAAGAATAAAGCTCCACTGTATCTTATATGTTTTTCTTGAAGTTGAAATTATGTGACGATTAATTTAGCACTTACCTAGAACATCATGATTTTAAAAGTTTGAATTCTAAAGTACTTAGTTCTCTAATGGACTGTATTAAATAAAATGAAAATAAAAGTAACATGATTCTATGGCTGTAGGTGGGTGAGTCAGAGTTTTCCTATTAGTGTTCAAGTGCTTGAGCATTGGACCAGTGTTAGGATCACTGGGTAGCTAAATCAGAATACTATTATGCATGGGCATTATGAACTTCTCAGTTGCTGGTTTTGTGTAATTTATATTGACTGTATTGAATAAAGTTTATGCCACACATATATTTCTTAACTTTGATATATATATGGCATTACCTTAATTTGTGATTTAGGAGTTTAAAAGTTTTGTAGTAATTTATATTTATTGATTCCATTATCACTTATTTCACTAGTCAATTGAGCCAGTATAACCTCAACGTTTATGTCCATTTGCAGTTCATGCCCAAGAAAGTTGGGACCCCAAGGAAGAGTGAGATTGTATTTATTAGCCCAACAGGAGAAGAGATCAGTAACAAAAGACGATTGGAACAATACCTGAAAGCACATCCTGGTGGTCCAGCATCTTCAGAGTTTGATTGGGGCACCGGGGAGACCCCAAGGAGATCAGCAAGAATTAGTGAAAAAGTCAAGGCATCACCAACAGCAGAAAGTGAATCCCCAAGGAAACGTAGTAAAAAATCATCAGCTTCAAAGAAGGATAACAAAGAAATAGAAAATGCCCCTGAAAGAAATGAGGAAATTAATGAAGTTCATATGAAAGAGGCTGAAAAGACTGAGAAGGATAATGCTGAGGTGGAAGAGGAAAAGGATGTTGTGAAGGAAAGTCAAGCTGAGAATAAAGATGAACAAGATCCGGATGCCAAAAATGAAGCTCCTCCTAACAGAGCCAAAGCTGAAGAGGATGTTGATATGTCTAATGATGCTGTAGAAGCATCCAAGAAAAATGCTGGTGCAGAACCTGGAAACTTACAAGGGGCTCAGAATGGTATTCAAGATGATGGTTTGGGAGTAACTGAGGATAAGATAGACATGGAGAGTGCAAAAGATCAAGAAAAGGTTGGTAAACCTCAGGTTGAGACACAGAAAGAGCTTAGATCTGGGGAACAGGACAAAGCAAATTTAGCGACTGCAGAAGGAAAGGGAAAACAGAAAACTGATGGCAGTTCTCCTGAAGCTGAAGGAGAGCTCAAGGAGAAAGATGCGGCGAATATCAATGATGAGGAACTGAATAAATCTGGTGTCAGTGAGATTAGCAAGAAGGTGGAAGAAGTGATTGAGAATGGCAGCCATGACAGTGCTAAAGTCAAGCCTTCAGTTACTGCTTAAATGGATTAACTTGATGCAGACTTCTTATTCACCTCTTTCTGACTCTTTTAGCTGATGAAATCTTTAAACCTGTACCTCTGTTGTTGTTAATTATAGATATCTGGTTATCCAACAAGATGTGCCATCTATAAAATCATAGGTAGGTGTATAATGTAGTCAGCCTCCATTCTACCGGAGAGACTTGTAGTTGCAGTGACCCTAATACTGTGTTGTTAAATACTGCTAATGTGATGTTTTTATGCAGTTATGTAATAATAAGTTAGAGATGTATGAATTCAGTATTACTCAGTGCCCCTTCTCTGGATGGATATGTAATAATAAGTTAGAGATGTATGAATTCAGTACTACTCAGTGCCCCGTCTCTGGATGGATGTTGGGTTTACTTGGTCATTTCAGGTTATCTGGAATTGACTGCCACAGGTTTCAGATTCAAGAAATTCTGTATAAAATTGAGTCTGCCAATTTTGGAGATGGATGCTGGATTTACGCATTCATGTTATTGGCTTCTCATTGGGGCGATAAGATGATTAAAGCTTTGAAGCATCTTTACATGGAATGCAGTCCGATTGAAAGGGATATCTTTGTGCCTCTCATGTATGATGTGCAGCCATAATCACAATTTCAGCTGCTTCTGTCAGTGAAAACTGAGCATTTGAGTTGTCCGGTACCATAGAACACTACTGAAAACTTGAAAGTTTCTTACATTTGCAGAATTTTTGTATTGAGTGGTAATTATAAATTTATACCGAATCAATGCAATCATGCAGGTAACTCAAATTGTAAAGAATATTTTACATCAAAATTTGCAACGCTCATTGAGAAAAGTTATAACCGAGGCTCAAGAACATTGAGCAATGATTTACAACCCAAACTCATTCAATTGAGATAACCTGTCAATCTCAAATCTTAGGGACTAGGGGAAACCGTGTAGTAAGTTAATGGAAGATACAAATAAATTCACCTGGTGTAGAATAAATGAAGCTTCATGTTGTTCTCTCAGCGAAAAGAAACAAAAAAGAAAAAGAATAAAACTTTCATCTGCCCTTCCTTTCCTTCAAAGTCCCTTAAGCTGTCCAACCAGTCCAGTCAAGGATGTCCATTTTTCAAATGCGCTGGCTGATGCCACAAAAGCATCTTTCGAGGACTCGATATCATTTTTAGTAACTGGAAAAAAAGGAAAAAAGACATTGTTAAGCTGCACAAGCACTAAAAATAAATTATGGCTTTCAGCTGAATTAGAGTTTCGTGTTAGGATCCTACATTGAGATCTCACATACACCAAATATAGTACTTAAGCCTACGGGCTTTCCCACTTATCATATTAGTCTTTTAGGTTGGGTTCTCACTTAGGCTTGAGTTCTAACATTAGTGTTTTCGTTAAAAGTTGCGATGTAGAAAATGTTAACTATAGGTTAAATTAAGGTGTAGTGTGAGTGAAGCTGCCCTCCACCCAAAGGGAGAAAGGGATTTCACTCATCCATAGGGGGAAAGGGCTACTGTCAAGTCAATGTCAATAAAGTGAAAGTCGGCATCCTCTGGATCCCCATCGGGATCTTACACCCGCTAAGTTGGGTACTTATGCCTAGGGTGGACGTCAGCTCTGGATCTCACGTCAAGATCTCACATCCACTAAGTGTTACTCAAGCCTAGGTCCTTGGGCTTAAGTTCTAACACTTCGTCTCCTACTTGAAGATTTCTCTGAAATATATTAGGTTTTGATACACTAAATGATACCTTGAAGCTGCTCTATCCAACATAGAAATGGAAAAAGCTTAAGAAATCAAATTAAGAAACTATTAGTTATTGAGTAGCCCACCTGAAGAAATTAATGAAGCTAGCGAGGAATTGAACGTATCCACCTCAGTCTTTGCTTCAGGACTAGAGCTCAGCTGTTAAGAGGAGGCACATAAACACTCAGAAGAAGAATAGCATAGACTACATATAAGCCATTGTATAAAAGCCGCACGCAACACCTAATCTTTGAGAAAGTTTTCCCACTCCAGACAAAACTACGGTATCCTCACAATGAAAATTTGAGAACTATCAGAATTGATGGTCATTCAGATGCAAAAGCAAAACAAAAATGAACATTCATGCCACTGATTACAAGTAATGCACAGACAATTTGGTGTACATAGCATCACAAATTAGCGAGACCTTGGTCAAGGCTGAATTGACTTTTTGGACCCAATCTGTATCAGTGCTTCTACCAAGAACTGAACTAGCGGTAGACAGATCATTGTTGTCTATGGCTTGACCCACTTTACTCAGCTTGTATACTAGATCCTGCAAATATCCTGCAACAAGTCATTTTGGTTTGTAAGCTTAGAGGAAAATCACCGCCTCTTTTCAATAATTAATATAATTATAATGATTTCTTTTCCTGGGGGAACAAAAGCAAATGAAGAAGAGTAAATGCATGACTCGATCAAAGATTTAATAGAAATGCATATCACATATCCTGATTTTCTACTTGGAACAAATTTTGATGGCTATAGGGAAAAATAAAATTGAGCGTTGAATCAATTTTTATGGTAATAGTGCAGCCAAATCAAAGCGCATATGTAGCCAAGAGCAATTTTTCAAAGCTTTTGCTATATCAAAAGCCGTTTGATATATCACAGCCAAGGCAAAAAGTGGTATTTGAATGTTCGATGGCCATTGTAAATTGGTAGAGTATCAAAATTAAGCTCCTGCACATCAATATATGCACCCCGGATTGGATTAATTTAGTTAAAGAAATCAAAGGACATTTACCACCCAAATTTTCTACCATAACACATTTGAAGATGACCAAATTAAACTCTGAGCTTGTAATCCCAAACCCCTATCTTACTTGAAGCAAAACTGTTAACATAATTGCAATGTAGGCAAATCCAATTCCAAATTATGCAATTTATTAGCCAGCTTGAATGTAAACATAAAGAAGAGACTAAAGGAAACCTGTTTCTGCTTTGGAGGAGCTAATAACACCTTGTCTTTCAAGTCTCTTCTTTCTGTCTCTCTTGACTTTCTCCATGAGCTCTTCATCGTCATCGGCTTCTAATATAGCTGCATTGGCATCAAAACAGCCTTTACCACCCAATGAGAAAACAAAGCTGGCGATGAAGCTAATATAGAGATTTCTTTTCGTTAAACATGGTGAAGGTGATGGCGACTCAGTGAAAGCCTTGCAAAGAGTACTTTGTTGTTGCCTTTAGGCATTGTGTTTGTGAAGGTAAACTAACAAAGAAGAAGAAGATGGTGATGATGATGATGATGATGAGGAGGAGGAGGAGGAGGGTATAGTGGAAGAGAGGAAGCTGTTTGCAGTTGAGAGAAATGATGTCGCCATTTCTGTGTTTTGGTTTGTTCTTCTGTGTTTTCTGGTAATTTTGGTGGGAAAAAAATTAGTGGCGCTGGCAATTTGGAACTTTCAGAAGATAAGGTTGCTGGATTCTGTTATCTGATCCAGTCATTTTTTATTTGCTTAAGGGTGTAGATGTCGTTTAATAGTTACACAGTTGACAGATATTTATCCTTTCTTCTTTATGAGAGGTGGACTCTGGAGAGTTTTAGGAATGTACTGGTCACTGATCAAATTTCTTTATAATAACTTAAACTATAAATATACGTTTCATCCCATAATTCACCCCAAACCCTAAACACAGACATACAATCAACAAAAGGGATTAAAAAATGGTTCAATAATTCAGATGCTCAGTAGTTGCTTCCAAGTTTTGGACAATCACCACGCTTATTTAAAAGCTCAAACTAGTTATCTTTTGTTCTTTTTGATTCCTTTTAAGTTGCTCTTCTGTAAGAAAAACAGGGGAATGTTAATGGGGTCCCTGAAGAACTGATACGCGCATACATATATGCTAGTGCTATTCTTACGACAATTTTTTTTTTTTTTTTTTTTTTAATCAACTCAACAAGCAGAAGATATTGTAAAAGTAGATTCCCATACGTGGATTGAAGTAGTTGGTAATACAAAAGCTACCCTTATCAATCAACACATAATCCCTTCAAGCCAGCTATAAAGACAACCCTTTTATGTCAGATTTCCGCTACCACAACATCTCTCACATCTCTTTCACCACGAATTCATACCGATTTCCAGAAAATTACACTCTGAAATATCCATGCAAATTTCTTTTTACACTCATCACTTTAAATTTCCCCACTTTCTAGCGCATTACAACGACAAAAAGGGTGTCCACTGAAATTGTTTTCTCCCTCTCACATCGCTTCCATGTATGCTTCTTTACTTGGTTAAGCCTATAAATAATTGGACTGCTTTTGGGATATTTGTATGAAATCATATTAATTATAATTGCAATGCAAGGCTTTACTAGGTTTGTGAAAGGGAAAAAGAGTTGGAAAAGACAAAATATGTTAGTTGAAGCTAACAAGTAGGAGGAGTCTTGTGCTGTAAGCAAAGCTCAATTTTTTTGCTTCTTTGATTGACACAATTAAGCAGCTTCATTTTTTTAAACATGGTAGGTTGTAATCAAATCACTAATTTTATGGAAATGATATATTACCCTACATTAATTTTTTAATAAATATTTATTATTCCTCAGTCCCTTTCTGTCCAATGCTTACTCTTGTTCATAACATTTTTTCTTACTTACTAAGTGATCTACCTGTCAACCAACATATTAACATAACTTTGACTTAAACTTTTCAGCTTCCTTACCTTTTTATAATTGATAACTTTTTTTTTTTTTTTTTCTTGGGTAACACTAGTTTTATATGTATTTCAATTAATCTTCAAAATTTATTGAACATCTTATAAACTCAGGAGTGGAGTCAATTGAACACTCTATAAGCCGAAATAATAGATAAGTCATAAAATTATTATGGTAGACCGCCTCAAAATTTGAAGCGGATAACTGAAGAAAGAGAATGACTGTCAAACCAAAGTTTATAATTGACAACTTTGATGGCTCAGCTTCAGGTGAATAGGAGAAGAAGAATTACTAACTGATTCTCTCTTAAGTTTAATTAACCGACCCTTTAGGGAATATATAACGCGTCTTTGTTATCATTTATGATTTATTTTAATAAAAATAATCACCCTCCTTTTCTCATTAATTACACCAATGTTTAAAATATTAAGTATGTAGGGGAATACTTAAGAAAATTAAAGAAAGAGTAAACGACATTTTCCCACCCAAGGTTTCACGAATCTACCAAACCACCCCTGGTTTTATAAATTCCAGTTTCCCACCCTTAAATGGACAGAAATCGTTTAATATGACGGTCGAAGGGTAAAATAATCATTTGAACAACATCAAATCCGAAATGAAAATAAAAATTTTACAGAAACCTCCACGTCTCAAATCTCCCTACAAGCACCCTCCCCATCTCAAATTTCTTTCACTTTCTCTCTTACGAACCTTCATTTCTTTCCCGTTAACTCCTTCCTTTCTCCTCTTTCCTTGCTTTCTTCTCTTCTTATTCTTCCTCTTCCCTTCTTTTTTCTTCTCATCTCCTCCCTTTCTATCTTCTCTCCTTCTCATCAGATCACTGTTACGCTTGACATCAATGCCAAATTGCCAATCACAAAGAGCTAGAATAGGAACAAAACACTATCAATATTGGCCCAACTATCAATATCAATCAAAACAGTGACGAATCCCTAGCACATACGCATAATTTCATCTCAATGAAACCATCAAACACATTAAAATGAGGTAATATAATGTTTCAAAGGAAGAACCACGAATATTAACCATCCATATCAAAGCCCAAACAACACAAAATTCATATTTATGAAAACCCACCTTAACAATCCAATCAACAGTCTCTTCAGTCCAAATCAGGCCGCCGCGATTTGGCCAAAATTCAGCCGCGGCGAGGCCCTTATGCGGCAACCCGAACCCACGCGAGGGCCAAGCAACCATGGAGAGGAGAGAAGAAAGAAAGGAAAGAGTGAAGAAGAAAAAAGAAAGGAAGAAGAGAAGAAAGAAATGAAAGAGGAGGAGAAATGAAGGAGTTGACTGGAAAGAAATGAAGGTTCAGGAGAGAGAAATTGGAAGAAAGATGCGCGGAAGAAGAGGGTGGAAAACGGAAAAAAAACTTTACTGGAGTGGTGGTTAAAAAAGTAATTTATTAATTTATTTTAAGGGCAGTTTGGTAATATCATTTGCTATATTCCATTAGAGTTAAAAAATTAGTAACGGTGTTGATATAAGGATGGAAATGTGAAATTTAGGAAATCAGGGTGAGGACTTGTGATTTGGCTTTACCTTGCGTGGGAACATGTTCTTTACTCTTACAAAGAAAAAGGAAAGCACACGGTAGCCGACAAAGCGCGTGGTCTTTGGGTTGAACAAAGAATAAGAAAGTGGGCAACTAGTTACACTGCATTAGTAAGTAAGTAGTGATCAATCACATAATATTAGTACATCACAAATTTAATTTAATTAATTATCAAACAAAACCCCCCTCTCTCTGAGACTCTCTCAGAGAAAACGACCGCCAAAAACAGTCCTTCAATCAATATTCAATCTGTTACGTTTCCAAACAAATCAACACTTAGATCCATTCTTCCAGTTTTTGCTTCTCTGAAACTTGTATGTTAAGCCTTTACAAACTGATAAAGCTGGAATCTTTTTTCTTTTATGTTATGGCCGAGGAACAAGAAGCACTTCTTCCAATTTGAATTTGAATTTGAATTCGGATTCGTTTTTGTTTTCAGTTACTGAATTGAGAAAGTTGAATAAATTATTGTTGATTCTTTCACCAAGACAAATGAGGAAAAGCTTGCGCTTCTTTCTTCGGTTTCATCTCCTCTTCTTTCTCTTCTTCACTACAATTGGTAATTTCTTTCTCTCTTTTCTTCTTTTGTTCTTTGAAAATTCTTGTTAATTCAGTTATTTATATATATTGGAACTTTGTATATGTATGTTACTTGGGTTGATCATAGAAATTTGAAGATCAGTTGCGATTTGCTGTTTCAATTCTTCTGTGTTTTATTATCCAAAATTAAAACGGATAGTTTTCCGATTAGAATTCTGATTATTGAAAATTCTTTCGAATTCATATAGTTTCTGCAGTGTCTGAAGATTGATTTTCCTTTTTAAATTTTCTTAGCTTATGAGTTTGTTGATACTTAAATTTAATTGATTTTTTATTCCCTTTTTAATGATTATAGATTCTTTAGCCTAATCATAGAGTAACAATAACATTATTGTCTTTTTTTGGTTGTATCTTGAATTATTTGTATTTGTCAATTATGGTGATTGGTTTCCATATCTAGATTGTAATGATTTTTTTCTTGAGGTATTGGTATGGAGAAAATTTTTGTTTAATCTGTATCTCTCTTCTCTTCTCTCTTCTCTTCGACCTGTTATGTTTTAAGTCAATATGGAAATTGGATTACAATATCAATACAATTTACCATGTAATACATATGTAAAACTTTTATTGGTTCTTACTTTTTGGATCCTAAAGTGAAGTCTACTTTTTTGTCATGCTCATCGTGGACTAGTTGCACAGTTTCATCTAAACACACTTGTAATTTATAGGACTTGAAAGAATGTTTGAATATTTTGCTGGAAGATCTCCATATACTGCTTCACCAATATAATGAATGCCATCAAGTTTCCTCATTTTTCTGCAGTTATGTTGAGAAAATTGTAGCTGTCAGATTTAAACTCAATACATAATGGTGATTTTTCATGTTATCGATATGTAGAATCAAATGATTGACTAATTAATCGATACATTTTTGTTCTTTTTCTCCAGCACCTAAGGTAGTGCAAGCCTTCACTGGTACTTATGGAATAAATTATGGAAGGATTGCAGATAACATTCCATCACCTGAAGAAGTTGCTACCCTTCTGAGGGCAGCAAAGATAAAGAATGTTCGTATTTATGATGCCGATCACAGTGTTCTCCAGGCCTTCAGTGGGACTGGGCTTGAAATTGTGGTTGGACTTCCAAATGGATATGTGAAAGAAATGAGTGCCAATGAGAGTCATGCAATGAGTTGGGTTAAAGAAAATGTGCAGTCATTTCTTCCAGGGACAAAAATTGTTGGAATCGCTGTGGGGAATGAAGTTCTGGGAGGGGGTGATTATGAAATGTGGGGAGCTCTTTTAGGTGCAGTTAAAAATGTTTACAATTCTATAAAGAAGCTTGATTTAGCTGATAAAGTTCAGATCACCACAGCTCATTCACAGGCTGTATTTGATAAGTCCTACCCCCCCTCATCATGTATATTTAAAGATGATGTTGCTCAGTATATGAAGCCATTATTGGAATTTTTCGCTCAAATTGGCTCTCCTTTCTGTCTGAATGCCTACCCATTTTTGGCCTACATGGGTGATCCAGAGAATATAGATATGAATTATGCTCTTTTCCTGTCAACTCAGGGGATTGACGATTCAAAAACTAATCTGCATTATGATAATATGCTTGATGCTCAGATCGATGCAGCCTATGCTGCTTTAGAAGATGCTGGATTTAAAAAGATGGAAGTTATAATTACTGAGACTGGGTGGGCTTCACGTGGAGATGACAATGAAGCAGCTGCAACAGTTGATAATGCTAGAACATACAATTATAATCTGCGGAAAAGGCTTGCAAAGAAGAAAGGAACTCCACTTAGGCCGAAGAGTGTGGTGAAAGCTTATATTTTTGCAATTTTTAATGAAAATTTGAAACCGGGGCCAACTTCCGAGAGGAATTTTGGACTATTTAAGCCTGATGGGAGCATTGCATATGACATTGGATATCATGGGCTGAAATCTTCATCTGCTGATTCGTTGCAGAAGGTATTAGGTTCTTCACCACATGCCATATATGTTATTTTGAATTTGCTAATATTTTGGGCATTAGATTTTCTCAATAGATGATATTCTATCCGAGAAGAAAGAAAGGAAAAATGGACAGAATGAACTACTTAATTTTATTGTATCTCTGAGTCTGTCTTCCCATGGCATGACTTCTTCATCTTGTTGGCATTTGAAAGGGTGAAAATGAAGCGTAGAAATATCTCTAAAATATGCATGGATCTTTCTAAATTCTACTAACATAGTAACTGCAAAAGATATGATAATAAAAAGATTACTTGCAAGCTGTTTCATACCAGACAAATCATAAAGTTATATAATGACTTTTAACGTTCTTAAATGCTGATAAATTCCGTAATGGATTCATTTACTGTATTATCCTTCAACCATTTTAGGATTCTGATGCATCTTTTCATTTGACTACTGAAAGATAGCATTTTATGAGAAGCAATTGGAAATCGATTAGGAGAAGAGCTGCTCTGAATATCATTACCCAAATAACTCTTATTATTTCATTAACTGCTATCAATTTCTTATCTCACAAATTGCATCTCATACCATCTCTCGTCATGCCTTTCCGTTCCTTGATCTAATGATCTTCCTTCATCTTTATATAATCAAATGCTTGCCGCATTACACTTCAACATCAACCCTTTTCTTCAATGAATCTCTTTATACTAAGCCTCAAAAGACAGTAAGAAATGGGAAGGAGAAATTTTAAGACATGGAAGGAACATTAAGAAAAATTAGAGGGAGGAAATACTTGATTCATCTTACATTCAAGTGCGTCTCTCACCAATTAATTAGACCTCAAATGGAAGACGATTAACTATGAAATTAATTCAAATTCAAAGACAATCAAATGAAATATCCAAGAAAATCATACCACCATCTAAAATAAAAGAGAATCATTTTTAACTAAGAAAGGTAAAATACTAGAAAATGAAATAAATATAAAATTCCTAAAGAAGGAAATAAACCTTAGGTCTTTAATGAAACGTCTAAATAAGTAGTTAGATATCCAGAATTACCTGCTTCTAGTGTTCATCAAGTGTGTTGGCTACCTACCAGTCTTCTCTTTTATCCAACCTAAAATGTAAAGTACCAGAAAATTAAAAAAATGTTTTAATTCCTGATTATTGTTTACGTTTGATGTAACATTGGGAATAGAAGTAAATATTCATATGATAGTGCAATCAGCCACTAGGTAGACTGTTTCACTGTGCCTCTGCTCGGATTGGCTGGCTAGCATCTCTTGCCTAAACCCCTGACTTGATCTTCTTATTTCAGTAAGTTACGGACGGCTGCAAATAGCTGGATATGCTTTCATCGGGCAAAGGAAAGATTAGTGCAACATTATTGCACAAATTATGGTTAATTACTAGTTGCAGAGAATGATATATTTGATGACAAAGCTGTTTATTTATTTAATTCGGTTTTGGTGAATACTTAGCAGTTGACCCCTGTGTATATCAAGTGAATAAAAGAAATGGGAAAACAGAATACCCAACCTCAGATAACTCTTTACTATTTACAGGAACAAATTATTGAGGGAGCAGACGTGTGCGTATGCAGTTATTTTTTTTTTTTTTTTTTTATGATTTATGATACTAAATCATCCACTGTGTTATCTCCCCTTTGTTACAGGATACCTGAGGTTGGACTAGGTCCTGTTCCTTGATTTTAGAAATCTTGCTGTGGCAATGCCTCTGATCATCTTTAGCTAGTGATTGAGCATATCTTGGGGCTCTCCCTCTTCCTCTTGTATTTTAATGCTAAACCAGTAACCACCACACATTCGTGGATAGAACTTAAGTTTTCCATTCCATGTCATACATGAAAGAGTAAAAACTATACATCACTGACTCTTGTATTCTCTACAAATGTATGCTAGAAATCGCTGATTAATTTTATATATATCAGAGATTGTGTGTCAGATTAAACCTACCGTCTTTGTTTAACTATATCATTTACAGGTGTGGTTGTTGTGATATATGGAGAGTTCATATCCCGAGTAGAATAACCATTTGGACTGTTTGCTGACTTATTGTTTTGTTGCATTCAAATGGCAAATCATTTTTATTTTACTAAATGTGTATCAAAATCATGTGGAAGATGACATATTTTGGGTGTTGAAAAAGTGATTCACTGACAAATTTCTTCTCTCTCATTTTGAGTTGTGCTTGTTGATGATAATGATTCACATTGATTAGGAGTGATAGGTTGATGATCACTAGTGTTTTGAGGTCCAATGTATCTGCCCTGTTTGCTATTGTAACACACATCAAGAAATAGAAATAATCCTTGATGAAATTTCTGATTAAATATTTCAGAAATTTGGCCTGCCGATGATGGTCAAGCATGAATGCCATGGCTTCTGGTTAAGAAACAATTATGCCCCTGTCTATTCTGGATCATTATTCTGTTATTCTATTTGGATTAAAAAATAGAATATGTGTTTGTTTACTTATTAGACTAATCCAATCTGAAAATTAATTCAACTCAAATAAGATTTTTTGTTTAAAAATGAAAAGAATGTGGGACTTGTTTCTAAATTATCTAACTCTATTCAACTGAAAATATTTTTCTCTCTTCTCATTTTTCCTCCTTCTATTGGTTGGATCTAGTCGATCATGCGTCGATTTGATTGTTTCTAGCTAGATCTATGGCCAGAGATCTTGTTGTTGACGGTCGAGATCTGGTCATTATTAACGGCCAAAATCTGGCTTTCAACAGCCAGTTTCTGACTGTAGATCTACTGAAAATAGTCATATCGACGCACGACTAGCTAGATCTAATCAGTCATGCATCGTTCTAACAACTATTGTCTGTCATCCAGCGGTGGTGATCGGTTGTCCTCTTGGGTGGTTGGAATGCTTTAGTTAATTTTTAAACTTTTATTGTGGAGGTGTTTAGCTAAATTAACAAGTGTAAGGGGTTAGAAAAATAATCAGAATATTTTTAAAAAATATACCAAACAACTATTCTGTCTTAAAAACTTTTTTTAAAAAATGTATCAAACAATTATTCAGCATTCTATTCAATTCTAATATAATTTTCAGATATTTTACTAAATACATTTTCAGATTCAAATTCAATTCGATTTGATTTAACTCAACTCAATTTAAGATGCTTTTTCAAAATAACATTTTTTTTTTTTTTTTTAAGTGTAAGAAACAGGCTCTATGAAACTCCGATTGCGTCAGGTTATGCATCAACGCGTCTACGTATTATTTATGTATTACTTGGTCTTGCTCATTTAAAATGTCACGGTTGGAGCTTCGGCCTTTGGTTGTTGGCAAAAAGTTTGTTAAAAAAAATATTAATAAGCGCCTAGCCAGACCAAATTATTGGTAAAAATGACGTAACGAAAACTTGCCTAATTTTTGTGGGACTTTTCTTTTCATGTGGAAAAAGAGAAAGAAATATGTTAAAATAATCTCAGAAAGAAGAAAAGGGCCATAAATATACAAGTCGAAAGAAGAAATCTGGGAATCAACGTGTAGCCTGGTCAATGGCCATAACTGCTGATTATGTAATGCATTAATTTTGTTCAGTCTCATGATGGCTCAATTTCTTTATGCTCTAATTCGTCAAAAACATTTATATTCAGAAAACGTAATAATTCATGAGTGTTTAAGAGTCTATCGAAGTTTCCCTGCTTGACAAACTACAGTATAAAGGCGCACATAAATTCTGACCAATTGAGCAGCGTGATTTCTTGGGTTTATGGATGATCCCATCAATGTAATTTGTAATACAAGGTTTAATGATTTATCAAAGTAGCTGACCAACATCCAATCCAACCATTTTTTATGTTCGCCCAAATACTTTGTTACCTAAAATGCTAGACTTTTCTTTTTTAACGAGAAACTTCCAATTCTGAAATTTGAACATATAGACTCAAGATATCATGCATGGTTCTTTTCTTCATTAAACAATTATGAACTCCGGTTTAAATGTGTTATACTTAAAAAGTCACGTCTATGTCAGCTCATTTTAATATCTTCTTGTACCAGCTGCCAAACCCATATCTCCAAAGATATTCTCACAAACTTTATCTCATTTCAAGAGATGAATGGACGAGAGCCTTCCATGTGTCAAGGCAACTTGCAAAACACTCATTATATTGAGTGCAAAGGTGTATAAATGGGCACTCCTCTTCCCGAAGAAGGAGGCTAGGCTGAGATTTGAGCTTCATTTCATTCTCTCTCTGTAAACACTGATTTCTTCCTCTTTGTATGCCTTACAGGCAATATCATAGAAATAGTCAGTGAGAAATAAAATAACAATGGATGTAGGAGTCACTTGTTGAGCATCCGAACCACTATAAAAACCCCCTCTTGCCAATCTTTTATTTATTTTTCTGCAAAATATATAATCTCAGCTCCATATTCAAATCTCATGGATCCATCACGTGTGTCTCCTGAGTCAGCTCAGTATTTTCCATGTGCGAGTCGTTGGTGTCCAAAATCAAGTGTCAACAAAATGATTTAATTGAAAACGTGGCCTTAAATAAATTTATAAGATTGAAGATGACCTACAGGCAGCGTTTACATTGTATATGGGAACGGAAGAACGTACCCAACGGACATTGCGACAACCACGTCTATACTTTAGTCAAAGGATTACATCGTTCTATAATATGCACACCGAAAATTCATTCCCAGCTAGTTTTTAATAATGAGTGAAGGAAAGATTTGAAAGACCCTGCAATTATTTCCTTGAAACTTCTCAAACACAAATACTAGTATAAAAATGCACACTGCCCCACATATATGGTATGTGAATGAAGGGTTATGACCCAAACAGAAAAGTTTATAATTTTGGCTAAATTCTGGCCGAGATCTTGTCACCAAATTTAGATTTATGTTTCAAAGTGATTCAGCAAAAAATTTTTTTTTTGTTTTTTTTGTTTTTTATGTGTGTTCATGAGATCATGATGCTCTAGCTATGAGGTCACAGCTCCAATAATTTGTTTTTCGCCATTTATATAAGCAGTGTGGCAGTGTCTCACCAAATGCCAAGCTGCCCCAATATGAATGGCCATAGACATCACAGATGGATTAAGCTGACAAAATCAATAATGATATATTAAATTACGGATATATATTCTGGTCGGCTTATATCTAAAATAATATGTCCATTATTGACTATTGGGAATTCCAAGGAACAGTGTTCATAATTAAAATATAATCATCCCAATTGTTCTTTCGTATTGAAAAATGATAAGGAAGTGTAGGCTGTAGCAAAAATTACGGATCAAGCAATAAAAAATAATGGATCCCTTCTCTGAATTGACTTAGTTTGCTTTTGCTGATGCCATTCAACAACTGCCCCGCTGCAGGAAATCTCCGGTCAAATAAGGACAACTGACATCATATTACACGGCTTCAAGCAAAGCCATCTGTGCACCAGAAAGCACCCAACCACAGTTGAGTTCTTCTATATATACTCAACACATTAACTGCCCAGCAAACAAACTCCAAAGTCCAAACCAATTAAAGAGCGGAAATAACCAGGGGCGACCTGAGATCGGTGAACACTACACAAACAAACTATGGCTAGGATCAGTATGGCAGAAGCTGTTATAGCTCTAGTTTTATCGGCAGCGATGCTGCAGGTCACATATGCCGATGATTACACTGTTGGTGACACAAGTGGCTGGACGAGCTCTGGTGTTGATTATACCACCTGGGCTGCTAATAAAGTCTTCGAAATTGGTGACAATCTAGGTGAATTTTTAATTTCTTAAGCGTACTTGATAACTGATCCATCTCTTTTGATGGCTGTTTAATTTGTTTATGTTAAATTTGTGATAAGATTAACATTAACACCATTCTTTCTTGCAGTCTTCAACTTCGCTACAGGAGCGCATGACGTGGCCATAGTCACAAAGGCTGCTTATGACAGCTGCAACACCGCAAATCCCTCCCAACTTTTAACAACTGGACCAGTGACTTTGACCCTCAATACCACTGGTGAACACTACTACATATGTACCATTTCTGGACACTGCTCCGCTGGCCAAAAGCTTGCCATTAACGTTGTTGCTGACTCTGATAATAACACATCCCCTGGTCCTTCTGGCACCACCACTCCTTCTGGCACCACAACTCCTCCCAGCGCCGCCTCATCATCACGTGGCCTTACTTTTGCTTTCTTAATGTCTATTGTCATCGGCTTATTCTGCTAGTTCCTCAACTTGATAGTATTGCTTGAATCTATATAGAATTTGGGTTTTTAGTTTTATATATATGCTCCGGATTTATACTAGTCATTGTATCATGATATTGGTTTTGTATATTTGAATAAGGCTGTTTGCATCGGCGGTTTTACTTTGATTATGGCAGTTTTTTTCTAGTTGATTCACCGGATAAGAGATTTAAATTCTCTCAATTATTTACAGTATACAGGACCTTGCTTATAGTATTGTTGTAATAGACTCAATCACTGCAGTCATAAATTACTGAGCAGAAAAGGGATTTTAACCATTGTAGCGATGTAAGTAATCAAGAGAAAGGCAGCAAATGGGGTGGGTGGAAACGGGCTTCAATCAACTGAAATTGGATACAATTAACGAATTGCATTCATATTTTCAAGAAATGTCTTTGTAACTTGTGTAGATTTTGTTAGCGGAAGGAAAAGCCATTGCTCAAAGGAATAAGGTTTGGTGTGAGTGAGACTATTATCTACTCAGGGCTGAGTAAACGACTAAAGTTCCTTAGTATGAAAGAACAACTTCACCAACTGATGTTGACTATGAAATCCAGAGCTACTTTCTTGCCAACAAGACCCGGTTGCATAGTGACCTAAACTGACATCCTAAATGACGCAAATCAAATTTCATTATGCAATCTGTAGGATTTCCTAAGCACTTCTAAGCAGAAAAAACATTGTAGAAGTCATGGCACTTCCCTTTACTGTTAGAAATCGGAGGAGTAAAAGTAAAATAAAGAACGGCAATATGTGAAGAATATCACGCACACATAAACATGATATTTACTTGACTTAGCATAACTCGCTACCTCCATGGATGGGAGAATTTTATTATAATTTCATGAACACGATATACAATAGTGCATAACACCATCAACCTAGTATATAAGACGGGAACAATCCTAATTTCTAGGACATTTTACCCTATGGTGTTTAATAACCCTTACATCAAAACCCTTGTGTTTTCACATTCTTTTTCTCATAATCATGAATTGGTTATCACCTCTATATTTTTAGGTAGTATATGAGACATCCAATTTCTAATAGGATTCATATTTTTATTCTTAATAGGACTCCCATATTTTAATTTCATTCTCTTACTTTAATTCAAAGTAAAGTCATTAACCAATTCTACTTTCCTAATTCATCTCACGATAGGAAAAGGAAAACAAATATTCCCAAGCTCAAACTCCTAAAATAGGATTTTCCTAAAACTCAAATTTTGGAACTGCTTTCTCCACGAGTTTCTGGTTTCCAGAGTTCTTCAACCTTCGCTTCTTCTTGCTTACCTTTTTTTTCTACAACAACATATTCACCGGTTATCAAAATGTGTTCACATTCCAACATTTACTAATACAAAATGAAAAAAAATTAAACCCCAACTCTAGGAAATACAGGTAACACCTCCAGAATTCATTTTTTTTATGGCGATCCCCCGTTATTAACGTTAGGCAGTAGCGGATCCGAAAGTGGAGGGAAGGTCTCTAAAATTGATATATTGTTGAAGATGAGTCATTTATAATTAAGCAAGATGTCTATCAAACATTGCTGGCCCAAACACCTTCGGTCAACAAAAAAAAAAAAAAAAATTACAATATTTCTGATTATTGCTTCCGTATCAATTCACTCTAATCTAAACCAGTGAGGTTGAAGACATTTCGAGAATAGGTAGTGTTATAAGTAAAAGTAAACTCAATATCAGTTAACTATATCTGTAAATTAACTGCACTAACTAACTATACTAACCGTTTGAACTTCTGCTACTAACTAATTATCTGCTGCTAACTGTACAAACACATTGTAATAACATACTGCTTCTCATTACAAATATATACAAATTATATTGCTAATAAAACTTATTTTATAAACCTGACCCTGAGGTATTACCAGTCACCTCTTGAAAGGAAATGACAAGGAAGTTATGGCTTATTCATATGGTTCTACCCTTCTCAAGCAATTGACCGATATATAAATTGCCAAAATAATATAAGTGCGCTCTCTCTCTCTCTCTCTCTCTCTGTTTGTATATATATATATATATATATATGACCCAGTCAACAAATGCAAACATGTAATATTTTATCGCAATTGCTTAATTTATCTTGTTCATTAAGTAATAAAAAGTAAACCCTGAAAGGTCTTCAATTTTTTAAGTTCCAGCTTATTTCCAAGTAGTTTTATCTTATCATATTTTTAGTATATCAGAGTAATTAAGCACCCCACAACTCTCTCATTCTGCATTTTTCTATGCATCACAAAGGTATCGGCCACGGGAACATCACAGAAGTGAACATTTAAGCAATCTAGCTATTTCGTTGAAGGAGTAAGATGGAGGATTATTCTTTGGAATCAAATGTAAAAGAAGGCGACGACAAATTATCCGATGTCTCTCTGAGGCCATTGGAGGTTTCAGAGACATTGATGATTTCATGGTGTGGGCTACTGATGATAACGTGACTCGTTTTTGCCTTTGGGATTCTTACAATAGTAGAGAAGATGACATTAACTTCATCAATACACTAGCTAAATCCCACCCTTGGCACAGGTAATTTTGCATAAATGACAGGGCAATTGGTTTAATTTCAGTGACACAAAATTCAGGTGAGAGTAAACCAAGAGGTGAACTTGATTACGTTTTAGCCTCAAAATATTGGGGCAAGGGCATTACAACAAGAGCAGTGGAAAAGGTGGCTAAAAGGGGGGTGTTTGTGAGCTTATAAGCTGGTCAAACCAACTTATAAACTCTAAAGCTTATAAGTCAAAAAATATAAGTTGAGGGGAACTTAATTTTCATAAGCTCGGCCAAACAGGCTTGTTGATACTTGATTTTGACACTAATGATTCGCACTTGTAAAATGCTAAGTTGGCTTAGAAATTACATGTGAATGAAAGAGGCAATGAAGAAAATGGAAGATGATTTTTAAAGTGGTTCGGATGCTTAAAGTGAATCTTACATCCACTGTTCTTTTATATATATATAAGGTTACAGGAAGTCTCATATAGCAAACAGTAAGCAGTAAGCAGAGGTACAAATGACTGATTATTTAGAGAAAATATCTCGTTAGTCTCTTTCTCGCAGGTTATCAGTGCTTTGAGAATAAAAGGTTATAATAAGAATCCCGAAAATGAGAGGGGGAGTCCTCTATTTATAATAGAAGGTTTCAGTGTAATGATTACAAGTTTGTAAGTGGGCAGGTGTAGTACAATTTCTACCGCGCTTCCTATTGGCTAATTATATAGGAAATATCTTCAAATCGCGCAGGGCTCGGACAAGTGGGCGACTCCCATCCACTCGTAGATAAAGCTTGAGTCTGCCATTAATGACAACTATACTCTTTCTGTCTTTTGATGACATGGCAGCTCTTGGATGGCACAAAGCCTTCCTGAACTCTGATTGGTGCTTGTTGACGTAAACTCGCGTCAGCCCTGATTTTCTAAGCATAACAGAAGCTCCCCAATTCTTAAGGTTCAAAAATTGAATCTTGAGAAATTCATGATTATGCCGCAACCTAACTTATTTTGAAGAGCACTTGCTCGAACTGTCAGTTGAGAACAGCCTGATCGAAACAAGGTCGATGACTTCACTCAACCAACGAACTGAATAGAGGTTGCGATATGGATCTTCAAGATTTATATAAGCGACCTGAGGTGCTTGTCCCAAAAGGTTCAACGACCTATGTCGAATCCTACCTAGTGCTATACCGATGTGTTTCGAACTTTATCTGTCATCCACGACCTGAAAGTACTTAGAGTATTTTGCTGTCGGAAGTTGGAAATCACTTCACTCTGAGTTTGATAACTGGGGAAGAGTGTTTTTTTTTTTTTTTTTCAAATGACCTCTTCAGATGTTATTCATTGCACTTGACAGTTGTCTTGGTCAATAAAATAAGCTTTATCTGACAAACGTGTCTTTGTGCAATAAGTGTCAGCCATAAGCATTAAATGCAAGTCATGCTGAAACGACATTCTCTTTTAAAGCATTAAGTGTGGATGAGGGCACATGTAATGTGAAGGCGATAACCACGCCAACGTTTGGCATGGGCAATCTAAATCAGCACTTGGCATTGGCAGTTAGAGTCATGTCAAACAGCGAAGTTGGCTAAGCTGGAAACTTGGTGAAGCTCTATGAGGTCGTTAAACTCATAGAGGTGATCCTGCATATCAGAATTCTCATCTAATGCCCGCATATCGGGCATTCTAAACCTTAACGGGAAAGAAGCAGTTAACACTATTGAAGAAAAAGGGGAGCTTCAGTGGCTCACCTACGCTCATTCAGCTGAGCTCTAAGTTGATCTAGAACTCGCTATAACTCCTCAATCTAAGGAAGCAGAGCTATCTGGGGATCGCTTTCCGCAACGTGGGTTCAACCTTCACGATTGCGGTTGAGGAAAAACTGCAAGTCGGACTCTTCCTCATCTCTACCAGAGCCTTCGATGTGCCTCGACACACACTAGCTAGAGCCATGTGTGGGCATTGAATGGCCAAGGGACTTATCCCGACTTCCACGGTGGTTAAAACCGACCCATGTATGGTGAGCATTTCCCTTGTGGTGATGGTGAGGACCATTATGCCGACGATGAAAGGAATCTCCCTGCCTTGTACTCTTTCGAAGGTGCCCAAGCGATGTGGCGTGGGACGGCTCATGATACAGCATATCGCCAAGTTGTAAAGCCATGGGTATTTTACCTGCTTCATGACTGGCAATCGCTGGTCCCTTGGAGCCCTGGGGCCCATTATCTGCCACCTGCTTTCCCTTGTCTTTAAGCGTTGTAGGGCACGCGGTATTGGCTTTCACCCGTTTTCATGCTGTAACGTGACCTACAGGTGACTTTGGTGGCAGTACCGCTTTATCGAAATTAGGCAGTATGACCTGATCCAAACGGTTTAGCCGAACGGTTTAGCCTTCGGTTAACCATTTCGAGAGTATTGTTGAACCTCTCTGATAACTCCTCACAGTTGGATAGAGCTGTGAGCTCGAGGGAAAATCCGTTGTGGTATTTTGCAAAATGGGAGGTACTTCAGAAGAAGTATCGTCCTGTACCCAAGGGGATCTCATCGGGGCTAGGGCTAGTTCGCTCGATTTCGAAACCACAAGCCATTTGTCAACAAGTAGAGCTGATTGATCAGAGATTCTTGATGAAGAGTGGATACCA